TGCCTCCACATGAGACTGCATTCGGATACAGGACCTTTAAAGAGGTGACTGAGTGAAGGAGGGACCCTAATGCAGTATGATCGATGTCCTTATAAGAAGAGGAAATTTGGATACACAAAGAGACTCAGCAGACCGGCATGGGCAGAGGGAAGAACCGTGTGAAGATACAGCGAGAGGCAGAGGCCACAGAACACAACCAGCCCTGCCAACACCTCGCTCTTGGTCCAGCCGCCAGAACGCGGAGCGAATGCATTTCTGTTGTTTCAACCACACCGTCTGTGGTACCAGGTTGTGGCAGCCGTAACAAACTAGTACAGTGGGTATTGTTTCTTCCATAAATGTTTGGAAATTCACCAGTGACGTCATCTGGACTTGGAGGGTGTTTGTGCGAAGCTTGTAAATTCCATGTTCAATTTCCTGAGTAGATACAGGGCTAGTTCCAGTTGAGCGAGTCTATTTCTCTTAAGGAAATTGACCGTTTTATCTTAGTTATTGAATATATTCTTACATTCACTCTAATTCCCCAAATCACAAATGAATAAAGCCACCAGTTATTCTACTGCGTAAAGATGACTGTCACTAATGTTTTGCAGTATACTCTGACAGATCATTTTTATACATGCACACAACACGCCCCCCTCTCTTTTTTGAAAAACAGCTATTACCTATAAACAGGTTTCTGTTTGTTTGTTTGGGCATCGTCAAGTCGTGTTTGGAAACATGTTTACAGAGGAAGGGTTATTAATCGGCTTAACTAACTCCTAACTTAAACTGCTTCTGATTTGGGGAGCCATCTCAAAACATCAATCAGGGTCCTTTTTCGTCTGTCTCTGGAAACAACTCGGGTGTGCATCTTGGTTTACGATCCCAGAAGTGGCATTACTGGCTGGGCCAGTTTATTATTGACTTCATTATCGAGCACCCAGTGCTTGGTAGGAAGAGGGCGGAGGAGAAAGAAGACCTCTCTCTGAGGCCTGGCCCAACCAGTGCATGCAGTGGGGATTGGAGATGAGAACATGGCACTGGGCTGCTCAGAGGCTCTCAGGGGTCCCTGTCAGGCCTTGGCCTCCTTGACATATGTCTAAGCGACACCCAGGTACCTGCAAGTGAGAGGCTGTCACTGCAGCGTGTGGGCTATACCGGGCCTTCCTTCTGTTCTTCCTTCTTTGGAGAACAGAGAGATTGTTAAGAGGTGTTGCAATAACTGAAGCAAAAATAGAAGCCAAGCTTTGTGCAGACAGGAGGACAGCTTTGTCTTCCCGTCGCTCCCTGATGAGTCTGAGGAGGCAGGTACAGCCTTTGTCCCACGCACAGGGAATCTCTGAGCAGAGCGTCAAGATCCATAAACCCAAACATACACAGGTACAAGCAAGAGAATGCGTAAACAGCAAATGAAACCTTCCCACACTAGGATGTGTGCTTGACTGCAGGGGTTTTTCCAGGATAACTTCCTGAGAAGGAGAGGGGCCGGAATTTGTAAGAGGAAGCTGGGCAGAGGAAGGGCAGGCCCGGGTGAGGGGAGAATGGGCCAGATGGTTTGACATAGCCAGAAGAGGAAGTTGGCAAAGCTGGGAGTAGGAAGGGAAGCCCCGAAGGTCTGTTCTGCTCCTTGTCAGCAAGTCTGGGGATCCTGGGGGAGAAAGGTCAAGGTGAAGATGAGGGGATTACCAGAAGCGTCAACGTCCCAGAGAGCTTTACTCTCCTCGTCCCCCGGTCCCAACACCTCACGGCCAGAGTCAGGGCCTCTACTTTGGAACAATCAGCGCTCTGCCTCCGCAGGTGCCACAAGCCCCACACCTTTGACTCCCGACATCTGAGAGTACGATTCTCACCAGTGAGGCCTTGGGTTCACTCTGCAGTTGAGGAGGAGCTCTTCTACTGAAGTCCCTTGGCCAAGAAACAGGGGTGCTGGGGTTAGGGTCCCTTCAGTGTGAAAGCTCACGTGAGCCCCAGGCCCAGGCTGGGAGGCCAAGCCCTGAGCTGGGGTCCCCAGAGCTCAGTCCTACTCTGCATCTGTCCTGGCCCATCTTTCACATGCTCACCCCATCCCAGAACCCTCAGGCTCTCAACCAGAGGCAACTGGGCCCCCCTCTCCCCCCGCCCCACCACACCTCACAGGGCACTTTTGCGATATTCAGAGACATTTTGGATTGTCACAGCTAATGGGGGGTGGGCAGCAGACTCTGGAAGCCAAGGACGCTGCCTGAAGGACTGCAGGGTATGTCACCCCAAGAGATGCCTCTTTGACATTGACATTGTTGAGCTAGAGACAATTTAGAAGCAGCAAATAGGGACTAGCACATGGCATAATGGTTATACTGCTCCCACATTGTTGACCAGGGTTCAAGTCCTGGACTTGGTAGCTTAAAACTCATGCCTGGTGTGTGTATGTGCATACCCAAAATCCCAAGAGGAGAATGGAAAAGAAGGGATTACAACGTGGCCATCCCCCTGGGGAGTGGTTTCTCACTTTCCGTGTGTCTCTCTAGTGCATACACATGCCCTATAGAAAAAAAATCTCTCTTAAAAAAAAAAAAGCAGCAGCAAACAGAGAAAGAGTTCTTCCTATGCAAAGAGCTTCTGACCCACCTAAAGTCGGGGTGTGCGTCCTCCCTCACTGCAGTCAGCTCCTGTCAGCTCAGACGTGGCTCCGGAAGAGCTAGCAAGCCTTATTCTGTCAGTTCCCTCCCGTGTTTGCTTTCCCTCTTCGGGCGCCTTCCACCGCTTTCCTGGGTCACTTCTCTGAAGCAAACCACCCTTTGGTGCCGCGTTGGCCAACGTCCTTGCCATGGCTTGCCTCAGCCTTGGCAGAGGTTTCTCCCGTGTCCCGTGCACTGCCCATGTTGATGAACTTGCTGGTTCCCCTTGCTAACCTGTCTGATGTTACAGGGACCTGCCCTAACTGCACACTTAGGAGGGTGGGGGTTAGATTTCCTGGCCTGTGAGCTCACGGCCTGGGTCCTGGGGTGCACTGGTCGGCACTCCACCCTCGGTGCTGCCAAGGCCAAGAAGCCCTGCCGCATTTGGAGCAGGCACGCCCTACCACATAGGAGTTGGAGGCTTCCTGCCAGGGCATGTACCCATGTCTCTCCGGTCTTGCCAGGGCGGCCTGATAGACGTGGCCCTGACTTGCTTCCAGGCGAGGGAGGCCCTGTTCAGGTGTGAGTGCAGAGTGTTCTCCAGATCCGGCAGTAAGTCCTTTCCAAATGGCATGTCACCAATGTGGCGTCCACACGGAGAGGCCCTCCAACAAAGACGCTCTCCTAGACCAAACTACTCGGGCTACCAGGCACTCTGTTTTGCTTCATTTGTTTATTTGCTTTTTAGTTTTGCTACAGGGCATGTGTACTTACCAGAGAGTGACAGAGAGGCAAAGTGAGAAGGCATCCCTCGGGGACAGGGCCACGCTCTAGTCCCCTCTCCTCTAGTCTCCTCTTGGAATTTTGAACACATACTCACTCATGACCCGCGTGCCCTTCAAGGCCCTGGCTCCAGAACGGAAACCATGCTGCAGGCCTCGTGGAGTCCAGCCACCTTAGCCACCACACCCCTGACTGGCCCAGGAACTTCCTTTTTAACTAGGCCTTGACATTGGGACCTCCATGCTTGTCTCTGTGTTGGTCAGTTTCAGCAAGAACCCTGTGAGGCTGGTCTAGCTAGAACCGACCGTCCTCCATATCTGATTACTCTCGACGTCTGATCAGATTCTCATCTTTCACCACCTCCCAGGTGATGTCTGGTCGCCCTGACCTGCCTTTCCCAGGAATCTGGGCCCAGGCGGGGTGGTGCAGGCGGCAGGGGTGCTGCTACATGATGCTGGACACTGTGCGGACAGGGCCTACTGAGCATGCTGGGAGCACCTGTGGACACACCTGATACTGGTGGCTGCAGGGCTCAGGGAGAGTCTCAGCATGGACACTGCGAAGGGATAGCTCTCTCTCTCTCTCTCGGAAAATAGACACATAAACTTAAGAAACATCCTCTCAGAGCAGCCAGTACCCCATTACCTGTACGTTTCCTCGTAGCAATGCTCCCTCCACAGGCCCCGCCCTGTTCCTTGGCTCTAAATCCCCATTTTCCCTTACATTTGGGGTTGACTCCAGTTTTTGCTCCCCATGCAGGTCCTACACCTATCTTTAACATATTTCCTTTTTCATTTTATTTTATATTTTAATTTTTGGAGAGATTTTTGCCGTAGGGTGCACAAGCTCACCAGAAAGACAAAGAGAGACAGAGAGACAGAAAGCAAGAAATCACCCCTCAGGGGGCATGGTCATGCCACAATCCCTTCTCCTCCATTCTCCTTGAGATCTTGGTCACGCACCCAGTGTGAGTTTAAGCCACCTGGTCTGGTACTCGAACTGAGGTCGACTACATGGGAGTCCAGCGACATAGACATTATGCCATCTGCTGGTCCCACTTTCTTTATTTTTTTATTTGTTATTATTATTTTTAATTTGATCAGAGAGAGCGAGAAAAAAGGGAAAGTGAGAAAGCAAGCCGCCAGGTCCAGGACTCAAACTGTGGTCGGCCATGTGGGAATCTAGCACCCTAACCACCACACCACCTGCTGGCTCCTAACATTATGTTCTTAAGATTTTTTAAATGTCTTTCAGTCAGGGATAGAGAGGGCTTTGGGTTCATCTCCTTTCAGGCTTCCTGCCAGGGTATGTACCCATGTCCCTCTGGTCTTGCCAGGGTGGGGCCACACATGATGTGGGGTGCAGCTCCTGCCCAGGCACCTACGGCTCCAACTGGGCGGGACAGAGCGTACTGTGGGTGGGGACTGTGCCAGCCAGCTGTGGGCAGGGTGGTGGAGGGAGTGGGTGGAGCCTGCCTTTTCTAGGGCATGTGTCACCTGCCTCCTGCCCGGGGGCACTGCCCAGCACTACCCTGCCAGAGTACGTGGCGGCGTGAAGCTGGGGCCTGCTCCCCAGAGCTTTTGGAGTGCATCGCACACCTTCCGAAACCTATGTCGCTGGCCCCCCAGAACCCAGAGAATGGCAGATGGGGCGCATGCCAGCCCCAAAGGGTTCAGGAAGAAGGTGCTGGTTAGATGCCCCTCTGGGCAGAGGGGCCCGAGCCTCAGGGCCTCCTCTCCTTCAAGAACCTCCAGGTAGGTGCCTGCCGCCCTGGGATGGAATCCTCCTTGGAGGAGCAGGGTATGAGAGACTGGCTCCTAGGCTCCATTTCTCCAGGAGAACCCCGAGTCTCTGAGTGGTGGGCTGAGGGGTGAGGCTGCATTTGCAGTGCTAGGATAGCCTTGGGGATCACGTAGTGACCATGGGACAGCAGAGGGAGCTAGCCACGGTCTCTCCACGTTTTGGCAGCAGAGCCAGAACCAGAATCCAGAGACCCAGGATTCTTGGCTTGGGGTTCAAAATCCAGCTGCCAGGTTGGGCCATGTGATTCCCTGTCTCAAGATGCCCTGCTGTGTAGATGGAAGAGGGTGGGTTCTGATCTGAGATCGAAGACTTCCAGTCCTGTGAGTTGATGCATGAGGAGGTCACTGACAGTGATGGGAGGCAAGGAGGCTTCGGGGGCCTCCTGGCTCTGCCATGCTGGGGTGTGTCCCTCCAGGAGGGGCAGGGCAGGAGGGGAGAGGATAATCACCGTGCTGGGGCACCTGTAACCAGAGCATCAGGGTGCATCACCGATGCCTGCAACTAGGCCCAGGAGGAGCCCCAGGCCCAGAACTGCCGGGAGGCGGAGGGCACAGACTCAGGCTCCTGGCCTCTTCCTCTCTCAGGTCTACCCTGGGTATGAAGAAGTTCTTCACCGTCGCCATTCTGGCTGGCAGTGGTGAGTAGCACTCTGGAGGAGTCTCCCTGCTCTCCGAGACCCTGTACCTGGCGTCAGCTCACTGAGCAGCTAGCGACAGCCTGTCCCTTGCTCTCCTTGGGCTCCACTTCCTGGCTCTGCCCCTTTAGGCTTCATGCTCCCTTCCAGGCTGTTTACTCCGCGCCACCTGCGAACACGCCAGGGGCCGTCGGCGTTTACAAGCTGAGCAAGCATCGTAAATGGCAGTGTTGGCTGGGCGTTCGTGTCCATAGGAGTGAGTATTAGTGTGTGTGGATGTGCATGCAGACGGGAGCTAATGAGTGCGTGTGGACCAACGTACACATTTGGTGTGGCCCGGGTGTGCAGCACACATCGACACACTGCGTGCTGCCCTGGCGCCTGAGTGCGTAGGCCCATGGTGCTTCTGTATGAGTGGGTGCTAATTGTGGCATGTGTCTCCAGAGCGTGCAGCTCTGCACATGGCTGTATATGGAGGATGGGGGTCCACGGGAGTGTACAAGAAAGTAGGGGCGGCTTCATTCCCAGGGGGCACTCAAGGCAGCACAATAGGGGTCGGCTGCCCTGCAGGATGGGGGCCCCTGATGCATGTCTGGCTGGCCAGGCCCTCAGCCACTCACGGGGCAGCTGCTGACTGACCCTCTCGCTGGCACTTCATACAGTCTGTTAAACATCACCTGGACACAGAAAAGAAAGAAATGCCAGACACAAAAATAAGGTGTAGTGTGACCGGACATCAGAAGGGTTGATCGCGCTCAGACAAAGTGCCTGTTATTTGGAAAACTACCACTTGAGTTCAGCCCAAAAGTCAGGATGTATTTTTCTACGTTTTCCTAAGCAAAAATGTGTCGCGACTTTTCCGATGACCCAGTACCACTTGAGGTCAGCCCAAAACACTGGTTAGGGAGAGATCCTCTTGCCTGAAGGAATACAGGGTGTTTCTTCCACATGTGTTGTATATGGATGTGGCCTCTGTTCAGGCCACGGGGTGCCCTGTGTGTGAGTGTATTTGCAATGCATCAGAGCATAGCAGATGTGTATGGGTGTGAGTGTGTGTGTGTGAGTGGGAGACTGTGTGTGCAAGTGTATGCATGGTAGGGGAGAGACCAGCAGGGGCGTCAGTGGGTGAACATGAGTGCGTGTGCACGTGTGAGAGTGTGCGTTAGTGTGAATGTGTGTGCCCATCCCGTGCTTGGCCAGGTAGCTTCTCATCCTTTCTTTAAGTGGGAATTGATGGTCGGGTGGTCCCAGGGCCACATCTGCACCCCTCCAGGGTGATATCCCAGTTGTCGATGCGGGTGGGAATGGAGGTGGCAGGCTTTCAGGCTGGAAGGGGAGGATGGAGCCTCATGGTCAGGTCCCATGTTGAGGCGCTGCTGGCCCAGAAGTGCTGGCGCATTGATGAGCACAATTAAACCCCCAAGGCACCCAGTGAGATGGGCGTTGTCATCCCAGCCCGCAGCTTTGAGAATCGAGGTCCAAGAGCTCATGTCATCTGCCCCCATGCAGCCCGTGTGCTCCCAAAGTGCTTGGCACATGCCTTTTGCTCCAAAATAAGAATTTAGAGGACAGGAGGAGGACTGGGGTGAGAACAGAGACCTGGGCGGCCGCACCTCAGCCCTGCTTGCCTCAGCCCCTGCTCGCCTCAGGCTTTCCGGTCCATATCTCCTGTTGCCACTCAGGAGACAAGGCCCACTGGACGCTGGGTCCTCTCCCTCCCCCGGCAGCCCAACATAGACATTCACACAGTTCTAGGTTATTCTCTTCACAGTCGTCATCCCTCCCTCTTCTTTCTTCCTCGTTTCCTCTCTTCTCTGCACTTCGTTCTCTAAGAGGATAAGAAGTCTAAGCCAAGAGACAGGATGATTCCGCTGGAGCAGATTCCTACCATCACCCTCCCTGAGGGTGGGGCAGGCCTGACCCAGGCCCAGTGAGTCCCCGAGGTGGCAGCAGGGCGGGAGCAAGGGTCTGGGCACCGGCCAACCAGGTTTCTCGTGGTTGCTTGTTCTTCCCACTTTGCAGATGGGAAAACAGAGCCCCCGGGAGCTTTAGTCATTGGCCCAGGTCTGTCTGACTCCGCAGTCTCTTCCCAGTAAGGCATGTTAGGTGGTGAGTTCCCTGTCGCTGAAGATTTAGATAACCACACCTCAAGGAGCAGCAGGAGTGGCCTCTGGGGCTGCATCCAGTGTCCGAGACTCAGGGCTCCCTCTAACCCCTGGCACATTTCCTCATGTAGCCTGCAGGGCAGGAGACAGGTGCTGACCTGGCCGCCTAACGCTGGCACAACTGGAGGGGCCCAGAGGTGCGGGTCACGGCACGGGCTGCGCTGCATGGTGGTTAGCATCCCAGCATGCTGGCGCACCAACCCGGGCTGGTGGCTGGGCTCTGGCACTGCTGTCTGTACAACCTGGGCAGTTCCTTGCCTTTCTGAGCCTTAGTTTTCCTCATCCGTAAAGTGGAGATAGACCAGTTCTCCTGCTGGTGTGTGGGGCGGCTTCCCTGGGCGAGGACCGCAGGTGCCGGACTCAGTGCATTGACTCCGCACAGAGCCCGGGAAGACAGAGGAAGCACGCAGGCTGCCTGAGAGCCCAGCACAAACCAGCCTGCCAGGAGGGGGAAGGAGAGATGTCCCCGGGCAGGTGGGTGTGACAGGTGTCATGCAGCTGATTTTGCTGGCACAGGAAGTGTCTCCACCTCGATGTTTCTTGTGTGTGTGACCCTCTTCCAACCTCCAGTCAGTACTAGCCTGTGAATGAAAACCTTCTCTGTATCTTTTTTGTTTTGTTTTGTTTTGTGTTTGAGAGGTTTTTTGCTATAGGGCGCATGCACTCGCCAGACAGACAGACAGAGACAGAGAGACAGAAAGTGAGAAATCACCCCCCCCCCC